AAGTCTGTCTCTTTCTGTTGCTCAACTATATATGTTGCATATCATCGACTCATGTGATGATGATGTAGGTGCATAGATCATCGATGGCGAAGAAGTGCTATGCCAGGAGTATATGACCAGTGGCAGGAGTGTCAGGCCCAGGTGTATCGGTTTTCGGTTTTTGAGTGATAGCCAGTAGTTAGTTTAGGTTCACGCTAGTGCAAGAGAGGGATACAAACTCATGTACTGCATAGTTCCGCTCTCACTCATAGTGATAGCTCTTCTCGTGTATATCATTGTTTAGATGGATGATGATGTAGTTGCAAGTAATAGAGACTTGTATCGCTATTTTCGAGATGATGACGAGAGACCACTTTGTGTTGGATGATGATTATGACGATGATATGATTTGATGCTATCATTACATTTGTATGTGTATGATATCCTAAATATTATTGTATAAAGCATGTTCAAATATAAAACAAATATGCAGGAAAAAAACAAAAACTAATAAAACTATCAATAGTGAGGGGAATAAAGTTAGCAGCGGCACGCTAGATAAAATCGCCGCATCTATTACTAGTAGCGCATTGCGCTAAAGCTCGCTGCTGCCAGCCATGTATAGCAGTAGCATGGAAAAACACGCGCTACTGATCCATACTACACTTGTATCACCTTCTCTTCGCCGAACTAGTGCACCTATACAATTCACCATTGTATTTGGTGTGTTGGGGACACAAGAGATTTCTTGTATTTGATTGCAGGGGTTGTTTGAAAGAGACCATCTTCATCCTACGCCTCTCACAGATTGATAAACCTTAGGTCATCCACTTAAGGGAAATCTGTTGTTGTCCTACAAAACTCTGCGCTTGGAGGCCCAACATGAGTCTACAAGAATAAGTTGTGTAGTAGACATCAAGCACCACTACCACCACAAGGAAATGAGCAAGCTCCAGCAACACCTGAGGGACATGTGCAAGATGATGAACATGTCATTACTCAGGCATGTCCTACCAATACAAAAATTGAAATTATGTTTATGTTTGCCAGCTTTGTAGTGTTGTATCCCTACAATTAATGCTTGATCCCCAACAGGAGCACAACCCTTCAGAAAATCCTATCATACAAGATCTGATGGTTGAGCTTATGATACAAAGGGTAATTTTTGTTAAGACCCCCTTTGTTCGTGCCATTTATTTCCAATAGTTCTATTAACTTTCCATGGTTGGTCATTTGAACATATGTTTACTCATGCAGAGGATAGTGATCGCACAAGGCCCTATTCTAGAATCAACATTCATTTCTGTTACCCAGCTAATGTTGAATCAAAGCCAAGGGAGCACAAGCAATCAGGGGAGCACAAACACCATTCAACAAGGTGACTTGTCCGAAAAGTTGCTCGCCCTAAAGAAGCAAAGAGACAAGGAATTGGAAGACAAGAAACAAGTTGTACTTGCAGCAAGGAGAGAAGAACAGGAAAAGGAGGCATAGGATGCTGCCAGGAAGAGACGTCAGCAAGAAGAGAGGAAAGTAGTAGAGGTAGAGAGGAAGAGACAGTCAACTGCTCAGAACATAGAGAAGAGGAAAGAAGAAGAAGCACTAAAAAGACAAGTTCAAGTAGAGACAAGGCAGATCATTTTGGAGACTAAGAAAACTATAGATGCTGAGAAAAAAACAAGGAAAGAGGCTGAGAAGAAGGCTCAAAGAGAATAAGTTGCTGCCAAGAAACAAGCAGAGAAAGAGACTATTGCAGCAAAAAAAGAAAAGCAGATAAGCAAGCATAGAAAGAGGCTGTTGCCACAAAAAGAAATGAGGACCTTAGTGTAGGTGCTAAAATCGGAAGATCTCGGGTAGAGGGGCCTGAGCTGGTGATCTTGGCACGATTGCAACAGGAAGAAAAGGGGACACGGTATTTCCCAGCTTCGGGCCCTCTCGAAGAGGTAAAACCCTACATCATGCTTGTATTGTATTGATTGTGGGCGGGGTACAAAGTACAAGATGATGTACCTCGAGACCGTATGAATGTGTTCTAGTCTAAAAACCTTTTCTCTACGGACTAAACCCTTCGGCTTATATAGGCGTCGGGGGCATCTAGGGTTACAAGTATGTCAGCTACAACTAGGGCTAACGTGTCGATCATTTGAATACGCCTTGAAGTATACGCCAACTCTTTCTAGGATCCATCTTGAGTATACCGAGGGCTACATCATGAGTGGCATGTTCTTCATTTGTCGGTGGGTCCTCGGCCCGACCCATGAATGGGGGGCCGACGTGGTGTGCACCCCTAGTTCAGGACACCATCAGTAGCCCCTAAACTAGTCTTCAAGCCGAGGACACTGGTCCTTCCACGGAACGACTTCATCTTCTAGTCTTTGGCTTCATAGGTGAGCTCTATCTTCCACCTCGGCTTTTAGATCCGTGGACTATATCTGAACCCAAGGTTCTTTTTTAGTTCCACCATTGGCTTCTATGATCATGTGTAAATCCGAGCAATGATGGTCTCATTGGCTCCGAATACTCTTGATTGGGGACCTCAAGTCCGAAGTTCTTTGTATGCCGATGTCCATTCCTTGGAGGCGAAGTTTTATTCTCCGAGGATTCTTGATGACCCTTGGCAGGCTTGTGGTCCCACTTCTTGACATACTTGCCAAAAGGGAGTCATAGAGGGCCTTGATATCCGTTTTAGCGCGTTTTTAACTTCCCTTCCTTGGTTCACATTCCCAAACAAGGCATAATGCATAGGAAACATGCGGAGTAACTATCCAGACTCAAGTATCCCATCTCAACGCGTCCTATCACGGTGAATATAAGCTTAAAGGAGACGTGATTTTACCTCCACCCCGCATGCTTCTTCCTTGTTCCAACGCAACTCTCCCTTCCATCTTCGCCTCTAGATCTCTAGCAATGGTGGACGCTTCGGGATCGTCAAAGCACCCGAACGGCCCCCTTGATGGAGACTGGTAGAGTTGCTCAGTTACCCAAGGGCAATTGAATCGTCTTGGGTATTTGCCTGATCCAGATTTCCACCAATCCGCCCTGGGCTGGTGGCCATAGATAGAGCAGTTCTCAATGACATGTATCCCACACCCAATGGGGCAGAGCGAATCTGCTTCATGCCCTATCTCCTTCGCGGGCTCGGCTTTCCCGTACATCCTTTCCCAATTGATTACATAGTGCAACAGCAACATATACAAAGCAAAAGATTGTCACTTCAAATACCTAAACAAACTACCAGCACTACAATGTCAACCACGCAGGGCCATTTGTTCATCTCCTAAACAAACTAGGCATAAACACTGACATAGCTAACAACACAAAGCACACCAATTCCATCATGTCCATCAGTTCTTCACCAGTGAAATAGCTACCAACACAGAAATCAGAATGATTGTTGCCATCAGTGAATTCAACATCATCAGCATTTCATTACCTAAACCTAGGAGTAACCTAGGAGTGCCTCTGCTTGTTGCTTGCTCATGCTACCTGCAACCCTTCCATGAATTCCATCTTTAATGTATAGAAGCATAGTCCTTCCATCCATTGCACCTGCAAACCTTCTGTTCCTTGCTCTTTCATTTCTTGCTTGAGTCAACTCTCCCCTCCTATCCTCTGCAACGCCTAATGCATCTACTACATCATTATCAATGAGGAACTACTTATCCACAAGATAGGCAACATATTCCAACTCCCAATGCCTGAAATCAAAAGTGTCCTAATAACAAAATAGGCCAACAAACGCCATCTCAAATCACCATGACAAGTTCCACAAAAATCGACCAAAATGAAGAACTAGGGCTGCACTCCACATACACTGTCAAGACACTTGTAAAAGACCCACCCTTCATGCGTCTCCGTGTTCGAGAGATAGAACTTCACGCCAGTGTGGCACTAAGGGCATCTGATGAGCGACACCACCACCGCATGGTCGCCGAGTGATGACCTAGCCGAGCTTGGCGGCATGGCGGCGGCAAGCAACCTCCAACACGACGGAGAAGGGCGGCGGCAAGCAAGCTCCAATGCAGAAGCGGCAAGCTAGCTCCAAAGCGGCGACAATGGCAAGTAATGGGGAATTAGGGATTTGATGAGTGCAAGGGGATTCCGCAACTTCGGGATTGAGGGGGGTCGACGGAAATTATATGAGGCGGCCAATTTACAAAAATAACCCCAAGCAAAATGACCCCACTTCACTTATGCGGGCGTGGACTCATCTGACTGGTCAAACTGCGCCGACAAGTGACATGCGCGGAACAGTGACCGTAGAATCACATTCTGTTACACATGGTGATTGTATTGGCCGTATTCCTGAGCATGATGACAAAAGCGAGGTTTCTTCGCGAGTTCGGTGATTGCCAATGCATTTTACTCATTGAAATTACACCGACCCTCGTAAACGATGTATTGCTTATTTTCAATGAATAAAACTTCGGTGTTTTTTCCAAAAAAGAAAAACTGAAATTCCTGAATTCCTTTTTTTTTTGCGGGTGAAATTCCTTGAATAAACAGATCGACCGTTATTCTGGAAAAAGAAAGAAAACACCGCTAATTAAGGCCCTCAATCTAAGGCCGGCCATAGTCCTCTTTATCTACAACCATTTGCAAGCGGTTTTGTAGAAGGCCCTAGTCAGCTGAGTCCAAAATATCGTGTTGCATGTACGGCGTGTACCGGCGAGCAGATGAAGCCTTCCCGTTGCCCCCGACCCGCATGTCCCGTGCTGAGTTGAGAGCGTCGCACGGCAAACCCGGCCGGCGTCCATGTCCCGCTTCCCCCTCCCCAACGATGCAACGGCACTTATAAGAAGCCACGGGGCCTGTGGAGGTTTGTTACTCCCCTTGTTTACCGTGGGAGCCCCTCCTTCCTCCCGCTAACTCCGCCCCGAACCGCCCGCGCCCCTGCAACCGCAACTCCATTGCCCCACTCACTCCATCCAGTCCTCCTCTTTTACTTGGTCTCGTCTCGCCGTCCACTGCGCCAGCGGCAGCAGCACCAGCCTTCGGCGTCGTTGCGAGGGAAGGGAGGCAGGATGCTCACCTTCACCGAGCTGTCGTGCCCGGCGGGCGGCGGCGGCGGCGGCGAGGACGCGCCCCGCTCCGTCGACTCGCAGCTCTGGCTGGCCTGCGCGGGGAGCATGTGCACCGTGCCGCCCGTCGGCGCCGCCGTCTACTACTTCCCGCAGGGCCACGCCGAGCAGGCCGCCGGCGCCGTCGACCTGTCCGCCGCGCGCGTCCCGGCCCTCCTCCCCTGCCGCGTCTCCGCCGTGCGCTTCATGGCCGACCCGCACAGCGACGAGGTCTTCGCCAAGATCCGCCTCGTCCCGCTCCGCCAGGGCGACCCGGCGGTCGACGTGGGCGACGCCGCCGCCGAAGGGAGGGCGCAGGACGACCGCCCCAAGCCGGCGTCCTTCGCCAAGACGCTCACGCAGTCCGACGCCAACAACGGCGGCGGCTTCTCGGTCCCACGCTTCTGCGCCGAGACCATCTTCCCGCCGCTCGACTACAGCTCGGAGCCGCCCGTGCAGAACATCTTCGTCAAGGACGTGCACGGGGACGAGTTCAAGTTCCGCCACATCTACCGGGGCACCCCGCGCCGCCACCTGCTCACCACCGGCTGGAGCAACTTCGTGAACCAGAAGAAGCTCCTCGCCGGCGACTCCATCGTCTTCCTGCGCAGCGAGGGCGGCGACGTCCACGTCGGCATCCGCCGCGCCAAGCGCGTCTTCTGCGACGAGGGCCACTCCGGGTGGGACCACTACAGGGGCCTGATGCGCGGCAATGCCAGCTCCGGCGACGCCACCGCCAAGGGGAAGGTCCCCGCCGAGGACGTGGTCGCGGCGGCGAGGCTGGCCGCCGCCGGGCAGCCGTTCGAGGTGGTGTACTACCCGCGGGCGAGCACCCCGGAGTTCTGCGTGCGCGCGGGCGCGGTCAGGGCGGCCATGCAGGTGCAGTGGTGCCCCGGCATGCGCTTCAAGATGGCGTTCGAGACCGAGGACTCTTCGCGGATCAGCTGGTTCATGGGCACCGTCGCCGGCATCCACGCCGCGGACCCCAGCCGGTGGCCGCAGTCGCCCTGGCGGCTCCTCCAGGTACGCCACACTCTGGAGATTCTCTTGAACGAACTGGCTTCCAGACCATCAACCACATGGCAACTCTCAATGCCATGGGACCATTGGCATATGGCATATGGTACCACTAACAAATCGATGATTGATAGTAATTCCTCCATGAATCCGCAGGTGACCTGGGACGAGCCGGAGCTGCTCCAGAACGTGAAGCGCGTGTGCCCGTGGCTGGTGGAGCTCGTGTCGAGCATGCCCAACCTCCACCTGCCGTCCTTCTCGCCGCCGCGCAAGAAGCCGCGGATCCCGTCCTACGCCGACTTCCCCTTCGAGGGGCAGCTCTTCCACCCGCCGCCGCCGCCGTTCCCGCCCAACCACCACCACCAGCAGCAGGACCATCTCCTGCACCACAGCTTCCCATTCTTCCCCTTCCCGGACAGCAATGGTGCTCCTCTCGCAGGGATACAGGGAGCCAGGCATGCGCAATTCGGTCCGTCCTTTTCGGATCTCCACCTCAGCAACCTGCAGTCGAGCCTGCTCTACGCGGGCGGCGTCCGCCGCCCCGCCGCCGACCACGTCGCTCCTCGCGCACCAAGAACGATCAGCACCGACCTGACGATCGGCACCTCGCCCGCCCGCGAAGACGACGGCATCACGACGCGCACTCCGACAAAGAAGGCCGGCGACGTCGTCAAGCCGGCGCCGACCCTGCTGCTCTTCGGGCAGGCGATACTGACCGAGGAGCAGATGAAATCCAGCAGCGCCGGCGGCGAGGCAGCCACCTCGCCGGTAGCCGGCGGGTGCGGCTCGCCCAACTGGGACGCGGAGAAGGCGCCCAACCTCTCGGAAGGGTCCGGCTCGGGCTCGGGCGTGATCCAGGGCAGCCCAAGCAACAACAACACGTCCTCCTGGAGGCTGCAGTGGTTCGGGGACAGCAGCAGCCAGGCGGCGCCGGAGCTGCTGGGGCTGGAGGCCGGGCAGTGCAAGGTGTTCGTGGAGTCGGACGCCGTGGGGCGCAACCTGGACCTCTCGGCGCTGGGGTCGTTCGAGGAGCTGTACAGCCGCATGTCCGAGATGTTCGGCATGGAGTGCGCTGAACTGAGGAACCACGTGCTCTACCGCAGCGCCGCCGGCGAGGTGAAGCACATCGGCGATGAGCCTTTCAGGTGAGCAGCATGCACAACGTCAACTTCATTTGAGTCACTTGATGAAATCATTAACCATTGATGATCACTCGTTATGAATGAATTCTTGAGCTGAAAGAGCATGATGTTGAATTTGCAGCGCGTTCGTGAAATCGGCCCGGAGGCTGACGATCCTGACCGACGCCGGCAGCGACAACATAGGGGGCTGAGAATGAAGCAGCAGAATCATCATCAGCCGAATAACTTAGGTGGCCGGCCATTCCAAGTCGTCATTAGCGAGCAATAAGCCGGACCAAGTGCCCCCTGCGTGTACAGCTGAACGGCAAGCTGTGGTTGGTTTCTTCCCGAGTTAGCTCATTTCCCTTTCATTTCCTCGTCACCGTAGCCAGGCCGTAGCCGTAGGAGCTGCAAAACAAACCAAATCAATGTGGCAGCAGCACCACTCCACTCTGGACACCTTTCATGATCATCATCGAATGTAACGTACTTGCGGATCTTTTTATTTCGCTGGGTCCGTCAGAGAATTGAATGCTCTTTGGCGCTTGGCCGGTGTGTGTGCGCGCGCGCCAACCGGTCCACCAGACCAGAGGGACAAGCTCATCATGCATGCAGGCCGCAGGCTTAAATGAAATTTGTGCGATGTTGCCTCGAGAACATTTACTACTCGTCCTCCCTGCCGATTCTGAATCACTGGCTCCGGCTCTTGCCTCCGGGCGTTTCATATGTTTCGCTCTCCCCTGCGTACGCTACGTATCTCTCTCTGCTCTGCTCCGGGCTGGGCATGATGGGGCAGTGCATTAACGGCTCCAGGTCCGGGTCCTCCATGCCATTGCCGTGTCCTTTGCTCGCAGTGGCAAACATAACTCCGCTGCCTGCCCATTTTGGCGCGGGGAGACGATACTCCATGAGATGGACGTTTCATCTAACCGGATCGACCAAAAGAACAGTGCACCACCGCGCCAGTGACCGGCCGACCGGGACCCCGACCTCGCATCAACCCATTATTCCCTGCGCGTATACTGTTCCTCTCCTGATGTTGGAGTACTAGTAGTATTTCCTTTCCTTTTTGCACTGCTGAAAACTGAGGCGCGGAGCCACCCACCGGCGCACGTATCTGCGATCCTGTTACGCCTAACTTTTGGTGTTTTGCGTCCTCCGTTGTTCTTATCACCGCGTCGTCGCCTATCTGAATATCAGCACTGTCGTCAGCGACGGTGTAGACTGCACCCTGTACAGCTGCAATACGTGCTCGGCCGTGGGGTTGGACCGACGACGACCGTTGGCCGGAAGAGGTCACGGAGAAGGCCTCCGTCCCGTCAACCGTTTGGGCTCGGTTGCTCGGCTGGTCTTGCTTGTCCGGCAAGTGTTCTTGACCACGTCCCTGTCACCACGAAGACGACAGGAGCGAGGGGAGGGGAGCGGAGGGGAAGAGGCGAAGCAAGGCCGTGAGATCGGTCGGGCAAGTCGCAGGGGAAGGTGAAAGAATGTTGCACCGCGAGCGATAGGTCCGGCGGTTCACGTTACTGTTATGATCTATAAGGCTAACAAAATCTCGATTCGACCTCGCTTTGAAAAAAAATTTGTTTCTAACCTTTTTAGGAGACGCCAACATCCCTGGCGTCTGGGTTGCGAAGCAGACGCCACGGATCCTGGCGTCTGGCCCCTGGCCCGCACTGCCCGCCTGCACGTTGACCAGCTGACGTGGCAAAGGGGCCAGACGCCAGGGACCCTGGCGTCTGGCCCTGGTAAGTGGATAACCCACGGGAGAGTGTGTGGGACCCACCCCACACACTTTCCCCAATCCACAACCCGAGCTTGAAGAACACTTGGAGCTCTCATACTCTCTCCTACCCCTCAAGCTCCCCCTCAAATCCTCTCCAAAAGGTGCATCCCTTAGGTGGATCTTTCCATCACTTTGCTGCTCTTGGTAATCTCCCCCAAATCATCCAATTATTTTTTGTTAAATCTTGTTATTTTGGTTGCATTTTATACATGTTGGTGGAACCCTAGTTCATGTTTTCTACCCCTTATGTTAGTGTGAATGGCTTGGTTAACTTTGATAATATAGTGCTATGCATGGTGTGTAGTAGGAATATATGTTTGTTGAGTAGAAAGATTGGGGGTTAGGGTTAGTTAGTGATTAGGGTTAACTTTGCTTAGTGTGTGTTAATTAGTGATACTTTTGTGGACATGACCAATAATTTAGTGTTGATATGATTTGGATATAATAAGATGTATTTGGATAAACACCAATTCTCATTGAAGTCTTAAATGCATTCATGTTTTTTTAGATGGAGAGACTTGTTAATGTTCATTACATTGACAAGGAGGCATTCTTGAGTAACAATGCCGACATGGGTGAGGAACCATTGGTTTTTGATACAAGCCCTAGCTATGAGGATGTTGTTGCAAAAATGAGACAAGTTTTGAAGTGGATGGACACCAATGTTGATGTTAAGTTAATAGGAAGGTATGATGTTGGAGTTGGAGCCAAATCTCGCTTGAAAAGTATGCCTATCACCTCAGATTTGCATTGGGATGTATACAAGGAAAAAGTATCCCAATCGGAAGACAAGTCACTTGAATTGTTTGCCACCAAGGTTGAATCTCCTCGGTTTACCTTTGATTTGAACCGGCATGTCTCTTCCCCAATGGATGACATGAGCGAGAGGACAATGGTGCCACTTGTTGAGCATAGGGTTGTGGTTGATGCCCCCAATGTTTATCCCCCACCACATCCCCGTGTACCATCTATTAAAGCAAATGAGGTTGAGTTGTATGCCCCCAATGCTTCTAGCCAACCACCAACTAGCCAAGCAAATGAAGTTGAGGTGATTGCTAGTGACGGAGTAATTCTAGAGGATGAAGATGCTTATGATGACGACGAAGAGCAAGAGGAAGGGTTTCATGGTAATGATGTTGGTGACTTGGATGCGTACATAGCGCAAAAGGACATGGATCGTGACTTGCCTTTTAGGCGTCAATATGCTTATGACTCGGATGACGAGGGTCCAGTTGAACAGTGGACGAGGATGGATTCACAAAGGAGGAGAACCAAATCCACTTTGAGCTGACGGGCTTACAAAAAAGAACTCACTTGTTTAAAGATCTCAGCCTTGCCCATAAAGCTATTGTTGACGGTGGAATGAGAATGACGGCGATTGAGCCAACACCATGCCCGGATCCAGGAGAACCAAGGGTGGAGAATGAGGACGAGAATGCTTATTTGAAGAAAGGAGTGAAGTTTCTGAGCTTGCCTATGCTGAAGTTTTGGTTGGCTGACTATGCCATTCGAAACCATAGGCCATTTTATGTTGAGCACTCCGACATGAAGTTGCGTTACACCGTGGTGTGTGAGCAAGAAGGATGCCCATGTAACGCCCTCGATGCGGCTATATCTCCCACGTGTCGAAGCACGACTTAGAGGCATAACCGCATTGAAAGCAATGTCGCAAGTGAGGTAATCTTCACACAACCCATGTAATACATAAGGGAAAGAGATACATAGTTGGCTTACAATCGCCACTTCACACAATTACATGAATAAAGCATTACATCAACCAAATACAATCAGGGCCCGACTACGGAACCAAAATAAAAGAAGAACCCCAAATGCGACAAAGGTCCCCGATCGACCCCAACTGGGCTCCACTACTGATCAACTAGAACGAAACAACACAAAGGGCAAGATCTTCATCGAGCTCCTCCTTGAGCTTGGTTGCGTCACCTGCTCGGTAACATAGGCACCTGCAAACTGGTTTTGGAAGTATCTGTGAGCCACGGGGACTCAGCAATCTCGCACCCGCGAGATCAAGACTATTTAAGCTTATAGGAAGGCTGGAGTAATGAGGTGGAGCTGCAGCAAGCGACTAGCATATATGGTGGCTAACATACGCAAATGAGAGCGAGAAGAGAAGGCGAAGCACGGTCGATAAAAGTATGATCAAGAAGTGATCCTACAGCAACCTACGTCAAGCATAATGTCAGGACCCCGACTCAATGCCACATCGATCTAGCATGTAACACCTCATATCACTTTGCGGCCTCACGCACGGTATTCCCACGGGTGTCGCCTTACCTTTGCCCGGGACCGTTTGCGCCTTTTGGCACACGTATATGACAGTGTCGCTAGCATCCATATGATAAGGAGCCCGGGCTGACATGGCTAGTCGTAAACCCAAAGTGGCACAGACTTACAGGGACAGACATCCATGACCCAGCTTCGAACGTGTCGGTCATCAGCAAGTGGGTCCGGGCTGTAGCACTGGGCTAGCAGGACTCCGGTAAACCGGGCTGTAGCGGGCTAACAGGACTCCGGTACTCAAAGCGTGACATTTCCCCGAAGGGACAGACACGGGAACGACGAAGGACACATGCCGGCCAGCCTAAGTGTTCCGGAGCAGTAGCAAGCTACCATGGCTCAGTGGAAACACTAGGAGACATTTCCCGGTAAGAGAGGCTACTAAAGATAAACAACTAGATGGTCAGATCCCACACATACCAAGCATTTCAATAACATACACACAATATGCTCGATATGTGCAATACAACATGGCATCACAAAATGACTCTACGACTCAAGTATTTATTCATTAGGCTCCGAGGAGCGAGACATTACAAACATGGGTCTCACGACCCAACAATCAGAGCATACAAGTCAAAACACAAGCGGAAACTATCATGTCTGGGTACAGACATCTATAAATGAAAAAGGCTGAGAAGCCTGTCTATCTATCAGATCCTGCCGGGGCACAAGATCGTAGCTGAGGTAACAAGCTAAACGTCGAAGTCCACGTGGAACTACTAGCGAGACCGAAGTCTCTCTGCAAAACATAAAATAGGCAAACGTGAGTACAAATGTACCCAGCAAGACTTACATTAGAACTATCTACATATGCATCATTATCAACAAAGGGGATGGTGGGGTTTAACTGCAGCAAGCCAGCTTTGACTCGGTGGCTATCCTGAACTACGACTGCGAGTAACTTTTGAGGTGGCGCACACGAGTCCACATATTCACCATATCAATACACCACTATGGATCCGCTCCCGTCTCCCTACGAGAACGCCATCCACAACACTCACGCTTATCTTGCGTATTTTAGGGTATCCACTTTCACTTGTCTATGAACTGATATAAGCAACCCAGAAGTCCTTTTCCGTGGACACGGCTATTCGAATAGATTATATTAACCCTGCAGGGGTGTAC